AGCAGGTAGAGGCTGCGGTGGCCGGGAGCAGCCACTGCACTCCAGTCTGGGCGACAGAATGAGACTCCAACTCAAAAAAATAAATAAATAAATAAATAATAAAATTTTAAAAAGATTATGTGAGTCACTTGCAACTGACAGAATCCTATTACTGTGAATTGTGAGCTCAGCCCCCAGACAGCAGGAAGGTGAGTGATGCTGAGGTGAGAAGTACTGAGAACGTGAGGCAGAAAAGATGGAGCAGGCTCACCCTGGAACCACAGGGATGGATTTTCTAGCATTCCAGAAATAAACTCCATCCTGCCTCCTAATTACACTGCCTTGAAGGAAGCAGACAGCATATTTTTCCCACCCAGATTGGGTGTATTTGGCAACATGTTTTTACTTTTATCTCTATTCAACCCACTGACCATCTTACAAACGTATTTCTTCTCTTCCCCGTCCCCATCCTCATCAGCACCTTCAATAAACACTCCCAAGTTTCTCAATCCCTGACTTTATGCTGGTAGTTTGGTGACAAGTGACTGCTCACGAAGCAGCCTAGGTTAGCACTGGGGACAACACCCACACAGAGGAACTCACAGTAAACAGAGTTGTAACTGCCCAGAACAGAAAATGGCTAAGGTTTAAAACAAACAAAACCAGAACGGTCAGGATCTTGGCATCCATGCAGTCTACTCAGATAATGTAGTTTTGGTACCCTGAGGCACTCTGAAATAAAACAAGCAGAGCAAGGAATGAGGAGGCACCAGACAGGCAGCGGGATAAGAAACACATTGCTGAATTACTTCATTATACTTTATGCAGGCTGTTGATAGAGAAAGAATGTGTCCATCAGAAAAATGGGCAAACGTTCTGTGTCCATGGGGTTTCCCTGGGGATAGCGACAGCAAAGAGGTGTGCGCTGGTGGGCTGAGGCGAGGGATGGCCTCGGCAGAGCTCCTTACTGGCTCTGCCTTTCACGGTCCTCTGTGTCATCATACACATTCCAGCCTTCCATCTCCTAAAGGTCCTGCCTCTTCTGGGTGGATATCGTGGGAACCGGCCTAGGCCACAGAGCTGAGTTAGGCCAACTTGGATGATGCACTTTCTACCAATTTCCTTTTTTGTTCCCACCCAGGATACTGGCCCCATGCACTGACAATCCCTTTCTTGTTCATGGAAATCACAAAATGGGGGCTCAGACAACTTAGATGTTTCTGCCTAGAAAGGTGACACTTGTGTATTGCTCCTCTTCTACACTGTGCTAGAACTTAAGTGATCCTGAGGGCCAGCATCTCGTGTCAACCTTGCCAATGGAAGCCAAAGACTTGGCACACAGCCTCTGGGGAGTAAAGCTTTCTCCTGGGCTGCTCCATCCTCCCTAAGGTGCATGCATGCGTGAGTTCCTTCGTCTAGCGTGCCTTTACAGAGCACCTAACGTGTGCATGACTGTGTTATGTGATAGAAATTCCAAACCTTAATTCCTTTCAAGTGTTAATGTTCTAAGAGCAGATACTGCCTACAGAGAGAGAATGTTCCTAACATGAACCCTTAGGATGCAGGCCATCCGCAGAACAAGCCTGTTTTTCTAGTCCTGTTTTGGCACCAATACAGCTTATCATCTCATCCTCATCAGCAGATGCTTCCTAGCTTTGCAAATATACTGAGGAATAAAAATAGGGTCCTGCTGAAACACCAATAACTGACAACAGCAGTCATCTTCCTTTTGGACTTTTCTAGCAAAACGAGGTTCATGTTTGCTGCCCTAAGGGGCCATATGAGAGAAACAGAAATCCAGATACCCAGAATGCTTCATGTGCTCTGGCAACCACTGCTCATGGGCAAGAGCAAAACAGGGCTGCTAGTAATTTCCATATCCCAGGTGGTCTCTACCACCCTGGACGGCCACACCACTGTTCTCAGCAGCACAGAGCCAGGGAGCAGACAGTGAGGGCCTTCAGAAATATTCTTGCAACAAGGCCGGCTTTTGCAACTCTGGAGGTCACTCCAAATTCCAAAGATGGAAAAAAAAAGTCTGTATGTCACTATCCAGTCTTGAACTGTTGTTAACAAATCTGAGCTGCTATGGATTTGGAATCTGGCAGCCAACATGTGAGATTTAAGAAAAGTCTATGGGGAAATCTGGTGGCAGAAAAGAATGAACGAATAGGGAGTAAAACCACATGGACACCCCCATGGACAAGAGATCACAACCCAGTGTTACTTGCGTTCTCTCTCTCTCTCTTTCTCTCCCCCCTCCAACTCTCTCTCTCACTTCTGCTTTCCCTTGCCTTCTCTCATTCTGCTAGGTCACTCTTTTTCCTTTGTTTTCTATTTCCACCCCCCATGGGAATCTCCTCTCCATTCCACAGCACTCTTCCAAATAATGGAATCTTCTGGGCTCGTGGATAGGCTTAGACACTGCAGTGTGTGTAAGTGGCTATGCCTAGAAGGAAGCACTAACGCCAGGTGTCCCTGAGTGTTCTGCCCATGGACCTCCACTGGGGGGCACATCTGAGAGTTCCCAAAGAAGTGACAAATCCTGATGCATGTGGCTTAGTGGATGCTTGAGGACAAACTCTTTAAGAAAGACTACATTTTTTTTTCTCTTTTCCAAATGGAAGAATGTGACAGCAGACACTGAGAGAGTCCTTCAGTCTATGGTAACTTTAAAAAATAAAAATAGCCGGGCTCGGTGGTTCAGCCCGAGTGAGACTCCAACTCAAAAAATAAAAATAAAAAGGTGGGGGCAGGGAATGGCTCAAGGGAAAAAGTGAAGAAAATTCTTCAAGTCACAGCCACAAGTTGCCTGGGCCAGAAAGCTGTCACTCAGCTTGGAGAAGGAAGAATTTCAAGTGCCCGTGGAGGACCCAGTGATTAGCTGACACCTCAACCTTTTGGGGGTTCTGCTGGAATTGCTTCTGCAACCAAGCAGCGTATTTGCTCAGAAGTGCCACTGAGGCTGACTGTCTGGTGAGCACCAGGCTTGTTGTTGGCGTCATCTATGATTGTTGTTCTTCCTGGGGCTGGACCTGTCCCTCATGGGGAATTTGGACAGCCCGAGGTCACTGCTGCCACTTGCTGAGAGGGGGTTGTACTGGATGTCCTTGCAGGTGCAGGACATCCCAAACAATGGAGAGTTTTTGCCAGCTCCTACATCTCTTGAATGCCTTACCAAACAAACTTTCCCACAAATAAAACTGTGTAGTGAAAAATGTTTAAAAGCTTTTATAAGGCTGAACCCAAAGGGTCTAGTATGTAAATTGGCTATAAAGAAGGAAGCTTAAATGGAATATTATTTTCTCAAAATTATTAAACAATGTATTCACTTTATCATTCTGTCATTTGAGCATATTATATAAGCTTTTCAACTATACATTTAGTTGAAATGATTTCAGTGCAGTGCACTACAAAAACAACATAACTGCATGTAAATATAGAGAGAGGAGATATATGATGCTCCTGAGTAAAATTAGAACCCCCCAAAATCATAAAATAGTACATCATTGAAATCTTGTGTTATTGCCTTGTATATGTTTTTAAATAGTTTTGTACTATGGTAAGAAATCCATTTTGT